TTACATGAACGCGCGCAATTAATGGAGTAATGGCAGATTTCGCTCTGATAATAAAACATCGGTAGCGATAATGAGGATAGTCATGATGATGATGATGATGATGATGTTGATGATGGTGGTGATGATGATGATTTTGAATGATGGTGATGATGATGATGATGTTGATGATGGTGGTGGTGGTAATGATGATGATGGTGGTGATGATGATGATGATGGTGGTGATGATGATGATGATGATGGTGGTGATGATGATGATAACAATGATGATGATGATGATGAAGATGAAGATGATGATGGTGATGATGATGATGATGATGATGATGATGATGATGAAGATGAAGATGATGATGGTGATGATGATGATGATGATGATGATGATGATGACAGTGACAATATTGATCAAGATGCAAACGATCCTCATCATAATCATGATGATGATGTTGATGTTGTATATCATGATCCTGATTATGATGATGACAACGACCTTAAAGATGACGTCATAATCATTGTTTTTTCAGTGCTGAATCTAATTGGAAGAAGGAAGAAGGAAGAGGAAGAATCAGGGAGAAGAAAAGATAGATGGTGGTGGTGACGTAAACAAAAAAAAAGCTTTGATGTGATTGGAGATTGTAATTAAGATAAAAAAAAACTACATAAGTAAAGATAACTTAATTAGCGCTATAAAAATGATGATTCTGATAATAATAATAATAATTATTATTATTATTATTATTATAATTTATGTTATTATAGATGTTGAGGATTAATTTCGTAAGCTGGATATTGTCATGTAGACGATGTTGATGTTAAAGTTGAAGATGATGATGTTATATATGTATATATGTATGTGTGTGTTTGTTTGTTTGTGTGTGTGTGTGTGAGTGTGTGTATGTGAGTGATGGTAATATATCTAGAAATATCGTATTAGATATAAATATATTTTCATAAACGTTGTGTCTGTGTGTATGCGTTTATGGGTGTGTATGTGTGTGTGAGTGTGTATGTGTTTGTGTGTGTTTGTGTGTGTCTGTGTGTGTATGTGTGTGTGAGTTTATGTGTGTGTATGTATGTATGTATGTATGTATGTATGTGCGTGTTTGTGTGTGTGTGTGTGTGTGTGATACTACAATGCATGTCATTGAAGAATAACATATAAAAAAACCCTCAGAAAACAATGCAATTATTTTCCAATTATGAAACAGTGGAGGAACAATGCTATCCAACAGTCACCATCTATTAAGCGGTTTTCTGGACACAAACATTCAACATCCAAATTTGATTGCAATCAAAATGAGTGACAACAATTTTAAATACCCTACAGCTATGATCACTTATTTTATGTAAAACGCCCAACACCAACCTATTTTTTATTGATGTTCTATCACCCGTACCTCAAAACCACTTTCTATTTGGACGATGTTTTTAATTATAATAAAAAATTGTATAACTTCTCCGATCTAACGCTTAACTGAAACATACCGAAACTGTAAAAGAAGCCCACATCCACAAACATCACATGACTGACTATTTATGCCCGCTTTGTTGTTTTCGTTCCTGACATGCCATGAAATTGATTATATGTAAATTTTCTTACAGGCTATTAATTTCATCCGACAGGTTTACTGCTCTGGCTTCGCCATCAAGTTGTTCCGTGTCAGGCCTTGCTGAATTGATTCTGTTTAGTGGGAGTTGGGTTGGGATCCGTACAAGAGCAATCCGGTGACCCCAACAAATCTCATGCCACGTCAAATATGCGGAGTAAGTAGAGATAAACTAGAACAGTTTAATTGGGTGATTAATTTAAATTTTTAGCTAATTTTTAGCTCGATTTGTAACTTAAAATTGTATAAAAATGTAGAATTCTGAGTCAAAAACTGTAGCTTTGTTTCCTGCAAATACTTCTTACGGAAGCAATTTTTTGAAAATTTGTTTTGTTAGATTTACATTTAGATTTATTAGGCAATTTATCAAACTTTTTAACTGCAATTAGGTACATTTGAGATGAAAAATGGTTTACAAAACTTTCAAAGTATTAGCATTAAAAAAATATTTGGCTCGTTAAGTTTAAATTTAAAACTTATAATGTTATCACAAAATTTTGAAAATAAATTAACAAATTAACATTAAAGGATGTAATGGAATTTAGCTACTTAAAAAGTTTGTATTACTGACTGCCTTTGAAAATTATTCCCAAATTATCGTTACAAAAAAGCCAAAAAATTATCTTAGAAAATTATAAATAAAATAACTTTTCCATGCTGAGCTGGCAGTATAATAACAACACCCGAACAAAGTTTTTGAAAATCACTTAAATTAAAAATATCCTAAAAACGTTTTAATGCAAGTTCTAAGGAAAACATATTCTATCAAACAATTCATTCTCAAAATATTGTAAAGTCAAAAGCCATTTTCAGATACTATTTCACTTAAGGAGACGTGCGGTATTACGTAACTCTTTAGGGGAGGAATGGTTTTGAAAACAAATTTGCCGGGTGTAGCAAAGGCCAGAGGGCTTCGAGATTTTTTTACATAACAAATTTTTACAACAAAAATTGAAACATTTTTAAAAGGAAATAACTAATATGGAAAATTGAAGAAAAAAATGTTATTGAATTGTGAGTATTTCTTACGGAATAAACACATACGTCAATAAATTTTAAAAAAAAAAGTCCTATTTGAAAAATTATTCTTCATTACGTAGCGGCGAAGAGAGAAGTTTCAAGTAGTTTGTGACGGAAGTGTTATGGAGGGAGTGGGCTGAAATGGTCGTCTTCCATGTTACTTAAATAGTCAAACGGCCCTTCATAGGTTCCTAATTTTTTCAAAAAATAGACTGACTTGATTTGAGAATGAAAGGACAGCGGTCAGTGGCATATCCAGAAATTTGTATGGAAGGCAGAAGTGGGACAATTGAATGCTTCAGATATTTTGGTTGTTAACGGGGAAAATTGTTCATTTCATAAAAAAAAAACATTCATTACAAAACAATTGTACCAACATTATCAGCAGTTTAAACACTCAATTTTTTTTTCAAAAATTATTACAACATCAAATTATATTTAACAAAACAGCAAATAAGTGGAGCAACAACATTAAAACAACAACAAATACATCCTAATATTGGCCACTCTCTTCATCCAACTCAGCAGCAAAAAAATATGTAACAGTAGACCAGTAAACCAGTAGACTACTACTGCATTATCGCCCACATTGATTAAGTTTGAAATTTTTATAAACATCTTGTCAGCGTTCATCAACGTTGAAAGCCTTGTTTTCATTTCTTTGCTGTCACGTGGGGGCATTGTGAAACGCATAAAATCAATAGCTTATTTTTAATCCACAACCAACCACAACAATGTATGCAACAATCACAACAACATACATAACCACCAACTACAACTTCAATTGGAACACCTACGAGAAGAACTACAATAACAAAAACAACAACAACAAACAACAACAACAATTACCATAAAAACCACAACCAAAATTTTACCAATACAATCAAAGCTGACAGCAACAACAACAACCAAACAACAACACAAATCTTGTCTATATTTAAACATGTTGCTGCTCTTGGAAAAGAAAAATAGATAGATACCTCAAAAGCAGGAGTCAAAAATTTCATATGTCGACAGACGTCGGTAGGAACATCTGTCACTGAGGCCTTCTCCAATGCCGCTGACTCAATCTAAGCAATCAATCATGCAACGGTATACATTTCATCGCGCGACTCAACTGGAGACAAAAATAAATAATAAATAATAAATTCTCAAAAATTTTCAAAGTATATTGAAGTTTCGGAAAAATTTCTCTAAAATGACATCTGTTGAAAAATAGAAACACATCCACAAACAAAACCATAAGGCGTATCGTGAATCACACAGCTTCATTAATGTCCCTAACATCAGCTACAACAACCGCATCAGCAACTGTATCAGCAACCGTATCAGCAACCGTATCAGCAACAACATCTCAACAACAACATCAGCAACAACATCAGCAACAGCCTCGCAACAACAACTTTAGCAACAACAACATCTTGAATAATAAACACTGACGTGTTGTTTTATTGTCGCTAGATGGCATGGCTGGAAGAAATGCCTCATCTCAAACAATGCCTCGGACTGCAATTTAAAACTATAAAACTAGCATTAACATTGTTGTTCAATTTCGTGCAACCATCCAAAAGAGGCTCCTTCTTATTCTCGTTCATAACATTCATTATGCACGTTCTTTAATACCTAGGTGTTTAAAGATAAAAACAGGTCTGTTACATTGTTCTGTCTGTCCGATAACTTTCTCGTTTTATTGGCCAACATCTTCTTAAAACGTTGTATCCTAAATGATTCATCTGACCCAGCTATAACTCAAACATGAGAATGTGCGTGAATATTTATAGAGCCATTACTTTTAATCTGAGACTGTTTCGTTGTCGGCCTTGAGTGTATTTTTTTAATATTTAACAACCTCGCGATAGTTATTTATTGTCGCGTGAACACCATCGCTAATTTATTTACTGCTCTATAACCACTCTCAAAAAATTTCTTCCGAATGAATCTGCCCTGAATGACGTGTCGAATGTGTTTTATAGAGCCGGCGACACCTACAACGGTCGCAAACAATATTTCTGCTTCAACTCAATGTCATCTTTAAAAAAATCAATAAACAGTGCTACAACATTCAAATAAAGTTGAAGCACTTTTAATGTTGAAAAATGTGAAATTAGATTTTAAAAAAGTTGCCATCTTTTCTTAATTCTATGTTGAAATTTGAAATTTGAAAATGTAAGCGTCTCAAGCAATTAAGACCTGCGAAAAAATTAGAGGCCGCCAAATCTTGCTTGCCCCAGGGCCTCTTTCCACGTTTTAAATCTGGCCCTGCCTACACCACATTCACTCACAACAATCTTCATTTTCGTCATTATAGCCTCACCGCCTGCCAGGCACCTAATTCAAAATTAAACAATAAAACAGCCGTCGGTACTGGCAAATATTAATCATCGTGCTCCTGCCGCTGGCTGTTTTTTCATTATTTCGAAACCACAATAATATAATAATAATAATTTAATAATAAGAAGAATAATAATAATTAATAATAATAATAACAACGTTAAAAGCAATAATAATAACAATTTTAATAATAATAGCAATAATAATAATAATGTTGTTCGATAAGATTGGTGAGATTAAATATGGAAATCGTTTCAGTCCTCTTTATTTCTCGCTGGTTGGTTTTTCTTATTTCTATTGTTAATGTTTTAGTTTAAATTTTGAAATTATTTGCGAAATTTCTAAAAATGTGAAAAATTATAATATAGGTTTGTTTAAATGCGTGATTTGTAATCTGTGCGTTTCAAAAATTATTCTGCAAATTGAAATATTCAAAGAGTTATTGAGAAGTTGAAAGTATCTATAGATTCTATACAAATTCGTTTATTTTATCAGCGCGTTGTTTTTATGTCTGCAATTGCTTGCGATTAATTGTACAATCTGCTCTAATTTCATGTTTACAACATAGCTGTTGTTAATCATTTTGCGAATTCAAATTAGGTTAATGTATCATTTGATGATTCGTAATTTTTTTCATAAATTTAAAATATTGTTACTCCTTTTTTTTCAGAATTTTCGTCTAATATGATTAATTTTTATTTTGATAAATGTCGTTGTCTACATCTTTGCAATCTACATGCAATTCATTATCGAACACCAATATTATCGCAAATCCAATCATCTACACGTTCCTTTCTCTCAGAACTTTCGTCATTGGCATCATCACCTTCATCATCTTCATCACCACCACCACCAACAACAACAACACCATCATCTTCATCATCTTCATGAACAGTCATCATTATTTTCGTAATCATTATCAGTGTCATCATATTCTATCATCATCTTCATCATTCGTCCTCTCCATCGCATTCTACCATTATCTTCTTCATCATCTCATCCTCGTCATCGCATTTCTTTCACCATTTTCACCATCATCTTCTCCATTACATTTCTACACCACCATCTTCATCGTCACTTTCATCATTTTGTTTATCATCATCATTTTCAATAAATAAATGCAGAAATTGAAAATTATGTTGTCTGGCAAAAAAAATCAATTTTAAAGTCTAATGTGTGTGTGTGCAGCCACTTTTTGGCAAAAAACGATGACTTTGTCAAATTAGAACATACCTCCGAATATTTATCTGAAACAGCCAAAAATATATTATTAAATATCTCTACACTGAAACCAGCAATAAATCAATTAACTAACAAATAAAATAAACAAATAAGACGATGATGATCCAGAAACAACACAACTCCGAACGAACGAACCTGCTTGTGTAGGAGTGCAATGATGAGAAGTAGAGTAAGGAGTCCGAGGGTGGGCATGATGACCGCGAAGAGGGCTGTCAAGCGGCCACAATTAGACTTGGGCATCGTTGTCGTTGTTGTGGCTATTGTCGTTGTTGTCGGGTCTTGTTGTCTGTCCAGTAAACGAAAGTGTAGGTTAGGCATGCGAATGTCGTTGCGCATTATCGGATTGTTGTTTGTGTTGTTGTGTCTGGTGTCGTGTGTAATGTCTGTGTTGGTGTTTGTGTTGTATGCGTTGTTTGTGTTGGTGTTTGTGTTGTTGTGTGTGGTGTTTGTGTTGTTGTGTGTGTTGTTGTGTATGGTTGTGTTATTGTTAGTGATTTTTTGTGCGTGTCTGTGTTTTAGTTGTTGCTTTTGATTTTTTAGCCTAAGTGTATACTTTTGTTGATGTTTTTTTAAATATTGTTTTTGGAAGTTTAAATAGTAACATTATTATGTGCTGTCGAAGTCTTGTTGATTTATTTGATTCAATGCTCGCATGGCCATTTGATTGTTTTTGAAGTTTTTTTGAGGGTTTTGAAAATTTTTGTTTCCATTAACGTTGTTGTTTTTGGGCGGTTGTTGTTGTTGCTGCTGTTATGTTGTTGTGGTTGTTGCTGTTATAGAAGTAGTAATTGTTGTTGTTAAAGTTGTTGTTGTAGTTGTTGTAGTTGTTGTTGTTGTAGTTGTTGTAGTTGTAGTTGTGGTTGTTATTGTTGTAGTTGTTGTTGTGTTGCGGTCGTTTTTCATTAAATTGTCCCTGTGGTTCTCGCAGATCCAATGTTCACTTT